AATCAGTAAATGTAATTCACCATTAAACAGAATTAAGAACAAAAATCATATGATCCTCTCAATAGATGCAGAAAAGGCCTTTGATAAAATCCACCATTCTAGGTTAAAAATTATGGAAATTGTTAACATCATAAAGGCCATTTATAACAAACCCAAAGCCATATCATACTTAAAGGAGAAAAACTAAAAGCATTTCCTCTAATATCAGGAACATGATAAGGCTGTTCACTCTCACCACTTTTATTCAATATAGTCCTCAAAACATTATCCAAATCAATCAGGTAAGAAAAGGAAACCAAAGGGAAACAAATAAGAAGAAATCAAACTATCTCTGTTTGCGGGCAATATGCTCTTATATCTAGAATATAAAAAAATCCCACCAGAAGACTTCTAAAGCTTATAAATGAGTTTGGTAAAGTAGAAGAATACAACAAGATCAACACACATAAATCAATAGCTTTTCTATGCTCCAACAGTGATTCATTCGAGAAGAAATTAGGAAAAGTATCCCATTCACAATAACCTTAAAAAATTCAACCCTTGAGAATTAATCCAACTAAGGATGTAAAAGAGCTCTCTACAATGAAAATTATAGAACATTGAAGAAAGAAATTGAAGAAGACCTTAGAAAATGGAAAGACTCCCATGTTCTTGGACAGGCAGAATCAATATTGTCAAAATGATCATACTACCAAAAGCAAAATATAGATTCAATGCAATCCCCATCAAAATACCAATGATGTTTTCCACAGAATTAAAAAAAAAACAACAATTCTTAAATTCATTTGGAAGAATAAGATACCCAGATTAGCTAAAGTATACTAAGCAAGAAAAGTGTAGCAGGAGGTATCACAATGCCTGATCTGAAATTATATTACAGAGCAAAACCAGCATGGCATCAAAATAGACATGAAGACCAATGGAACAGAAGACACAGAGACAAATCTACTTACCAGTACATATGATATTTGGCAAAGGTGCCAAACATATATCTTGAAGAAATGACAGCTTTTTAACAGATGTGTGCTGGGTAACTGGATAGCTGTATGTAGAAAATGAAATTAGACTCCTATCTGTCATCCTGCACAAAACTCAAATCAAAATGGATCAAAGGCTTAGGAATTAGACCAGAAACTTTACAACTTCTAGAAGAAAATATAGGCTCAACACTCCATCAGATAGGTGCTGGCACTTATTTCCTTAATAAGACCCCCAAAGTGCAAGAAATAAAACGAAGAATCAATAAGTGGGATGCCATCAAGCTAAAGAGCTTATGTACAGCAAAGGAAACAATTAAGGGCATGAAGAGGGAGCCTACCAAATGAGAGAAAATCTTGGTCATCTACTCCTCCAATAGGGGATTAATATCCAGGATACACAAAAAACCCCAAAAAACTTAACACCAAAAACAAAACAAAACAACAACAACAAAACCCCACAAAAAAACAAAAGAAAGAACAATACATACTACAACAATACATTAGCATACTACAGTGACATAGCTACCTCAATGTTTATAACAGCATAATTCAAAATAGCTGATTTATGGAGTCAACTCAGATGTCCATGAATAGATGAGTGGATTAAGAAATTGTAATATATATATATTTTTTTTATATTACTCAGATATATTACAATTATATATATGTATATACATATATGTGTGTGTTTGTGTGTGTGTGTATTTATTTCTCAGCCATAAAAAAAGAAAAAAATTATGGCATTTTCCAGTAAATAGATGGAAATGGAGAATATTATGCTAAGTGAAATTAACCAAACTCAGAAACTCAAAGGTAAAATGTTTTCTTTCATATGGGGAAGCTAGAGTAAAATGAAGGACAGGGAGGGAAGGATAGGAAAATATAAAGAACCAATCAAATATAAATTAACAGATGAGCCAAAGAAAATCTAATAGACTAGAGATTATAATTTGCTTCCTTGAAATATAGTTATATTATTTATGTATACATCTATCTTACAAGACTGTGAGCTTTCAAGGGATAATTGGTTTGAAATCATTGTTATATCCACCACTATACTTCATTTTTTGTTTTTCTGTTTTGGTACTGGGGATGAAGCTAGGGGGGCTTAACCACTCTTTTAGTCAGCTATTTCACTGCTGCAACTAAAAGACCTGACCAGCACAACTATAGAGGAGCAAAGGTTTATTTGGAGGCTCATGGTTTCAGAGGTCTAAGTCCATGGATAGCTGACTCTATTCCTCAGGGCTCAAGGTGAGGCAGGACATCATGGCAGAAGAGTGTGGCAGGGGGAACCAGCCTTCAAGGTGATCAGGAAGCAGAGAGAAAGCCCACTGTCTGGCTATAAAATATGTACCCTATAACCATGCCTCCAATGAACCATTACCTCCAGCCACACCCTAACACTTCAGTTACCAGTTAATCCTTATCAGGGGATTAATTCACTAATGGGGGTCAAGACTCTCACAACCGAATAATTTCTCCTCTGAACCTTGAGCATTGTCTCACACATGAGCTTTTGGGAGATAACCTCACATCCAAACCATAACAACCATTGAGCCACATCCCTAGCCCTTTTTTTTTGTTTTGAGACAGGGTCTTGCTAAGTTGCTTAGGGTCTCTGTACGTTGCTAAGGCTGGCCTTGAATTTGTGATCTTTCTGCCTCAGCCTCCAGAGTTGCTGGGATTACTGGCATATACCACTGTGCCTGGCTTTCATCACTGTTCTTCTTATGATTATTAGGCATTCCATATCTAATTGTTGAGGAAGTGAAGTTAGTTGATTCTTCCACGCTCTTAACCTTCAGTCCCATACTTGTTTTTACTGGGGAAATATTACCTACAAGACTCAAAGGGTACTGTCAATCTAATGTTGGTGTTGTAATCATTGTGCTATTGCAGATCTCATATTATACTGTGTCAATGTCAAGTCTTCTTGAAGATCAATTGTAAATTAATTCTGAATGATCTCACATTGGCTGATACCTTAAACCAGGTATACAGAGGGAATGAGCCAGGAAAGACATGAACCTAAGAAATCAAGTCCTTGCAAGCCAACATCCCAAGTTCTTTCAAATAATGTCTCTCATGGAGAATTCTTAAAATCACAGATGTTGTTACCTTTTGTGATAAACACTGCTTTAATGTGTGTCAGTGAACAAGTCTGATTCTGATGAAGGAGGAATAAAACAGAAATGGAGTATCACCTGTGTGTGCCTTGCAACTTGGAAGGACCTATCAAGCTTGTCTTTGTGTTTCCTTTGCATTTCTTTGGGGAATGGTCATGGACTGTCCTGGAAGTTCTGACAATATTAGAGGACCATTGTGTTAGAATATCTTCTTGGTTATTATAAGGCTTTGCCTCAAAGGTCATTCCTTTTTTAAAAAGTTAGATATTTATTCCAGAGGAAGAACTAACAACATCAGGTAATGTTTGGGATAAGTTGATGATTGCTATGATTTGGTTATGAGGTGTTTGTTCCCAGAAGCTCATGGTGAGACAATGCAAGAAAGTTTAGAGGTGAAATGATTGGATTATGAGAGCATTAATCTAATTGGTGCATTAATCCTGTTAGAGATTAACTGGGTGGTAACTGTAGACCTGTAGGGTGTGACTGGAGGAGTTAGGTCACTCAGGGTATACCTTTGGGGTTTATATTTTGTTACTGGTGAATGGAGATCTCTCTCTCTGCTTCCTGATTGGCACATTCTGACCTCCTTTCCTGTTCCACACCTTTCTGCCATGACGCTCTGCCTCACTCAGGTCCAGAGCAACAGAGGTGGCCATCTGTGGACTGAGACCTCTGAAACTGATTCTCAAATAAACTCTTCCTCCTCTGTGTCATTCTAGTCGGGTCTCCCAGTCACAGCAATGAAAAAGATGACTAAAGCAATGAAGGACGAGGGAGGAGTCTCTAAATTTCAGGAATAGTGGGGTTTCTGTGAACACACAGAGAGGTCAGGAGAGAAACTAGTTGGAGATAGAGAAATAGAAGAGATTAGTTTTGGTTCTGGACATGTTGAGAAGAGCTGCTATTGTCCACAAAGCACATGAACAGTGCAGTATAACTCCAAGGGAAGTTGAGGACTCAAGAGAGGCTGAGAAGAGAGTACGCAGAGGTGATAGCTCAAGCTTTCAAGCTGTCCGAGGAGAAAATGCAGAGTCAGAAGTTCAAGGGGGAATCATGAGACATGCTTTTACTAAGGGGTCCAGAGGAGTGGCTTATAGTGACTCAAAGCACTTTTAGAGCCATCTTAGACTTCTGATGAAATAGTTGCTGCCCTCAGCTAGCCTTTTCTAATAAACCAATCTCCTGACATAATTTTTGACAAGATATTGAACTAAACCCAATTTGACATATTTGACAAGAACTTTATCTGAACTATCACCACCCCATCATCTTCTCACAACAGGTGGGCTCAGGGGCACTGTGGACCCCTGAGAATGCCCTTGGAGTTGCTAGTATTTAACTGGCAAACAGGACAGTCTCTTCCTCATGATTCAACTTGTCACTAATTATATGAAAAGTACCAGTTAACCTTGCTGAATTATTCATGTCCAAAAACTTATTTCATCCAGATTTATACAGATTTGGGTTAGAACTAGTGAGACAAGTGAGAATGAAATCTGCTTATTGTCCTGTCTCCACCTATTCACCAGTATTTTATCATTGTATATAGAGTGTTTGCTTAAAGCTCTGGGTCAGGGTGAATTCTTGTCACATAATCCATAGTCTTTTGGAATGATGCAAACAAAAATTCAAATTGGAAAAATCAGTGAGCGTTCATCTGCTTTTGAAAAAAATGTTTCAAAAATAGGTGATTTTTGCTCTACCCACATACAGCTATTTGTTTATGAGTGTGATTTTGTGACTAACCTCATTTCACGCCCTTATGTACACTCAATAAAATCTCTTACGAATGTTGCTCTGAATGGATGACTATAATCTAAAATTTCATAGCACGCATTGGTTGATTTGTAATATTAAAACCATGTTTCATCTTCCTCTTTTACATTAGGTCTTGGGAGCTGATGACAATAACATGGGAGATGGCTGCTCACAGAAGCTGGCCACAGCTAATATCCTTCGCTTTTTGCTGCTGGTCCTGATTCCGTGCATCTGTGCGCTCCTTGTCTTGCTGGTGATCCTGCTCTCCTTTATTGGTGGGTGATACCATTATTAAAGAAATATTAAGTCAAAATTAAGATTAGAGTGATTTAGAAGAGTGATTTCTACGTACCACTAAGATAACCTAATAAAAAGATGGTCTGTGGATTATTGTTGGCAAAATATTCAACCACTGTAATCACTTTACTGGTAATTATTCTTAATACTAATTAATGGGTTAATTAGTAAAACCATTTTAAGGAGTGATTGCTAGGTGACATGCACATTGAAAGTCCCTGTAAACTCAAAGGCTATAGTTAGTTTTTTCTTTGGTGCTCACATTGATGTGGAGAAGATGACATGAGACAAGACAGACTTTGTTGAAGATAGGGCAGCAAGAGAAGGCCTCTAGGGGAGAAAGCATGTTAACATTTATAATTAAGTTAATAGAAATTCAGGTGACGTAAACAGAGAAAATAGCAAGTGCAAAAGTATAATCCCATGAATGATGGAACTGGACTTATGAACCTGGGCGAAAATTTAGCAGGAGTGTGAAATGCAGCTAGATTGACAAAGTTTGAATGACTTAGGAGCTTGCAGATCACACTACGGCATTTGGGCTTTAGCATCCAGAACATTGGTTTTTAAGCTCCGTTCCATGGAACCCAGGTTCTAAGGAATATTGCACCAATGTTTGCTTTGATTTTCATTTTTAAAAATAGAACTTAAGTACATACTCGAGATATTACATTCTAAATTTTGACCAAGCAGTGGCCAGCAACCAAGTAATAATATGTGCTGACAGGTTAATTCACAATTCACTTGTATTTGTATCTTGCTATCTCTCTTTAAATGAATTATACCCATAATTTGAAAGGTGAACTGTTGGGAAAAAACAGCAAACTATTACCATTGGTAGCTACCTAATGATATAAATTAGAATTTTTGAATGCATGCAATTAGATAAAGTAGAGAAATAAATGGCAGAATGATGCTGATCTAATTCCACTACTAATGATTTATTTTTATTTTTATTTCATAAAAACTACCCATTATTTTCTCATTGATTGATTTATTTTCTCATTTATTGAATGAATAAGACATTAATGTCAGCAAAATAAAGCTCCTATTTATTTGTAGATATTAGAATCTTTTTTTTTTAAAAAAAAAACTCCCCCCCCTTTTTTTAAATGGACACAGTAGCTTTATTTTTGTTTATTTATTTATTTTATATGTGGTGCTGAGGTTTGAACCTAGGGCCTCACACATGCAAGGAAAGTTCTCTACCACTGAGTCACAACCCCGACCCTGATATTAGAATCTTATATGTTATTTATATGAAAATAATACAGTTGAGCTTTGGTATCCATGGAGAATTGGTTTCAAGACTTCCCTTGAACACCAAACCCCACAAATGCTCAAGTCCTCTGTGTAAAATGGCATATATATATATATATATATATATATATATATACATACATACACACACACACACATATATATATATGAATTTATTTATATATGTATTATGCAAATACATGCGTATATATGTATATATGTATGTATATATATATATTTATTTTTTGGTATTAGGGATTGAACCATATTATTAGGGAATAAGAATTTTTAAAAGTTTTGTGTGTTCAGTACAGATGCAGTTTTCCCCTTAGTATTTTCCATTGACAGTTGTTTGAATCTGAGGATGTAGAACCCATGGACAAGGAGGGCAGACTGTATTTATTTGCTGCAAAAGTGCTTGAAAATCACTGTCATGGGTGGTGAGTAACAATTGGAGGATGTTTCCAAGAGGAGAAATCTGATCATATTTGCATTTGCAAAAGGCGGTAGAACTGGATAGAAGGAAATGAAGGCAGAGAGCTCAGTGGGGTCTCTAGCTATGATCTAAGCAGAGGGTGATGAAAGTTTGAAATAAGGCATTGGTAGATTTAAAACAACATAAATAAATATTTGCTGGGTTTTGGAGCGAGGGAGGGGGAAAAGTCAAAGCTGACTCCTGAATTTCTGGCATGGGTATCCAGATTGATTTTTAGTGTCATCTGTTAGTGTAGGAAGTAAAGGTGGAGAAATCTGATACAGGTGGATGGAAGGCATGTTGGAGGTTTGGTTTGGACTTACAGACATTGTGGGACAAGCAAATACAGTGGAATCAGGGTAAGTGCATTTATCCTGAATAAATTCGACAGGCGAGGCTAAGAAATGGAGGACATAAGAGTTCCAACATGTTGCTTCCTAAGGGAATTCAAAGAGAAACTGTGACCATGATATTTGGCTTATTGGAATTTAACTCACACCCTACTGTTGAGGTCTGAAGTGAGAGGCATCCAGGGAGGGAGCCTTAGGGGCAGTTAAGAACATGGGAGTCTCAGTGGTGGTGAACGCTGCAGGAATCTATGAACTGTAAGAGAAAACCTATTGATTAAAATGTGAGGGGCAAAGCTTTGGAGAATGCCAGCACTTCAGGGGTAAACAAAGAAAGGAGGGAACAAGAGATAAAGGAAGAATGGTCAGAGAAGAAAGAAAGGAATCTGGAAATACTGGATTTCACATAAGTCAAGGGAGGTGAGACCGAATTGGGTAACTAAGAAGGAGGATAGAAAAAGTGCCTCAGCCCAACCTCATGGACTGTCCCCTGAGGTTGCCCAGTGTGTTTTCCTGGCCTCTCCCTCTGTAGTGCCAAGTGGTCTGCTCCCAGGCTAATGGCGGTAAACAGCCTGAAGTGCACCTCTGCTCTTCCTTTCTTCCAGGAGTCAGCTCCCCTCCAGACTTGGCCTTTCTTCCCTCTCTGGTACCTCATGGTGGTCACTTTTAAAAATGTCATTCTGTGTTTGTACTTGTGATCTCTGGGAGGATGTATCTGGTAGTAGTTTTCTCAGACATACCACTGTCCTCTTTAAATGTTGAATTGTCATGACACTACCACAAACTCTGAAGAATATTTTCTTTCATTCTCATATCTTGTGCTAAAAACCTGTAGGACATTTTTAAGAGCCTTAGTGTTTAGAAGCTTCTGAACAGAGGGCAGAGAAGGGATGCTACCAGTGCTTTCTGTGGGTGATTTTTACTTACTAAATTTTAAAAAAATTATAGCTTTTTGAAATATAATATATTTGAAATATAATATATATATATATATATATATATATATTACACAATTCGACCATTTGAAGTATACAGTTCAGTGGTTTCTAGTATATTCAGACATCTGTAGAACATTTTCATGACCTCATAAAGAAACTCCTCTTTCCTCACCCCCTGGTCCTTGCGTAAACTACCACTGACCTCTTTTCTGTCTATGAATTTCCCTCTTCTAGACATTTCCTATGACCATATGTGGTCTTTTTTTAATATTTATTTTTTAGTTGTAGTTGGACACAATACCTTTATTGTATATATTTATTTTTATGTGGTGCTGAGGATCGAATCAGCGCCTTGCATGTGCTAGGCAAGTGCTCTACCATTGAGCCACAACCCCAGGCCCCCATATTTGGTCTTTTTGTGACTGGCTTCTTTAACTTCATGTAATGTTTTTAAGGTTCATGTAAGTGGTAGTATGTATCAATACTCCATTCCTTTTGATGGCAGAATAATATTCCTTTGTATAGATGTAATGCTTTTTGTTTTTTAAAATCTACTCCTCAATTGATGTACATTTAGGTTATTTTCATTTTCTGGCTATTATGAGTTATCCATTATCCTGCTATAAATATTCATATAGTTTCTGTGTGGACATACATTTTTATTTTTCTTGAGTATGTATCCAGAATGGGATTTCATATTGCTTATATATAGGATTAGGAAGACTACTAATTTGTAACCAGGGCCTAAATTCTATTTTGTTTATACTTAGGTAAAGTTTAGAAAGTAGGAGAGTTTCCCCATGCATCTTTAAGGCATTCTTTTCATAAATTCTTTACCAAATGATTTGATATAGCCATATTGAAGTAATATCTGTCCAAAGAATAATTTCTTATTTTATAACCCAGATGTTTATTGCTATATTGAAGAATATGACCATTTTATATCTATGCTTTAAAAACCTCATTAAATTCTTCTTACTTTTAAAAATATCCTGTTTGTTTTGAGTTTGTCACTCTATGCTCTCTCCTGGGCACATGAGGGATGCTAAGGGGTCCTGAGATGCCAATTGTATACAAATAAAAGCGGGAGTTTGTGCTTTGAAAAGGCAGAGATAATGATGAGAGGATTATTGATTAGGAAAAGATGATGAAAGCCTTACAAACAGATGGAATACGTGTCTGCAATTCATGTGTTTTGGCTTGTCCCTTGCATAAAATCAAGATGGTAAAGATTTCTCAAGATGAGCGTTGAGAATTTTGAATAATATTGTTGCAGCAGGGTCCAGAAGACAGAAGCAACACATTGTTTCTGACCCTAACCCCTCAACTAGAGCTACAAAAGTTTGGTTTAGTTTCATATTTCTAAACTTGACAGGCATTCAAGCTGTCTGTACGCTTCCAAAGATTTGGACTGTAAAGTAAGGAATCAGGTTTTTGAAAGGAGTTGAAAGGGAAGTAGAGAAGGAAGAAAGTTCACTATATGTAGGGTCTTGTTTCCTTGGTGACTGAAATGGTGATAGGACATATGACACAGAAGAAATGTGTGGCTTGGTATCAGAAGGTCTAGGTTTATGCTGTTGGTCTTCATTTACTGACATGTGACTTCAGATAAGAGGCTTCTCCTTCTCTTTAAGTTGGGAAATGATTCCATCATTTTACAGAATTCTTGTGAAAGTTAAATGAAATATTTGTGAAAATATTTTTTTTCAATTATAAAGTTTATTATGAAGGTAAAGAATTTGTTTTTATCTGCTTATGAATAATTATTTTTAGATGATTCTTTCAATAGTCTTATTATAGTCAAATAACAACTGATTAATATATGTCTGTCTCATTTTAACTCTATCTATAAAAATTAAAACTTTGTACTGTGATTCATTGTTGTATTCATCCTGTAATCCACAAACACATAACCCCACAGCCAGTATATTATAATTGCCCATAAAAAAGCTAGGAGG